TCTAATCAATATGTTTCCAGACTTTAAATAGACTTTAACCACAAATTATGATAAGCCAACGGTATAACAATGAAACTATGGTAGTTTCTTTTAAAAAGAAATGCAACATCCACTGCCTCTCAGCTACTAAAATCTTTTTTTGCCCCAATAGCCAAAAAGCTGGGACTTTATGTAAATATACTTATAAAACATAACATATTTATTAAATTAACTTACTGTAGTGTCATGGGACTAGACTTAATCGCATTGATGTAGAGACTGTAGAGCCTACATACTATATAAACAACACCTACTGCCCCAAATTTAGGGAATCACACTCTTAGAGGGCGTTCTTTTAATATTTTGGTTTGGCATAAAGAAATAAAATCAAGACATGCCACAAAACTAATTTTCTCTAAATTCCGGCATGAAGGAACAATAAAAGAAGAAAAATATATAATTGCTGCAGTCACAGTTGCTTTTTTTAGATCCAGTAGAGGAAAAAATATGGAATGATGAGAAAAACATAGTACCTTGTTACCACCTCTGGATTTTCAGGTAGCTTGAAATCTGAGACGTGAACCTAACTAATGACGAAGAGTACTCTTCATCAATCTGCCTCCAGCTGTCTCTTAGTGCTGTTCCCAGACCAGTTTTGTAAGTTGGAACCTCATCATTGACCATTTTCTTCAATTTCCATCAAAGCTTTTCAACTGGATTGAGATCCGGACAGTTTGCAGGCCACGCCGTTGACGTTATTCGTCTTTCTCCAGGGAACCTTTTCACGTCCACTGGTGATGACTTCATGTCTCATGATGATGATGCATCTTGTCACAGGATAAGCACCGTTTCAACTGATGGAGGTAGACAAGTGTCTAAAATGTCAACGTAGACTTTGACACGTATTGAAGATATATAATGACTGAAATCCACCCCATATCTTTAGAATGTGGAAATGTACAAGTTTTGTTCATAAATTTCAATTTGGGCGTTAAAAATGTCTTTCGTTTGACTTTCTGTATGAAAATCCCATTTCTCTGAGATGATTTCTTACAGTTCGATCACAGACATTGACTCCAGTTTCCGCCCACTTGCTTCTCATCAGTTTTGTTGTGTATTTCCTGTTTTCTATCTTGATGCTTTCGATGCCTTCCTTTGTCGATCAGTAGCTTCCCTTTTACAACTTTCCCATTGAGTTTGATCTTGGTACAGATTTTAGACGCAGCTAAGTGGGAACCACCAATGTCTTCAACATCTCCAAGGTAAATGGATGGTAAGTGGACTGTACTTGTATAGCGGCTTTCTATCAAATCAAGATACTCAAAGTGTTTTTCAAGCCGTGCCCTCATTTACCTCCACACATACATTCATACAGCACTCTACTAGATCTCTACGAAGTTAATCTGAATCTGTAGGGAATAATCAATGCTTTAGATCACATCCATACACCAATGGGACACACATCGGAGGCAGTGAAGGGTTCACTGACTTGCCCTAGGACAGTTCAATATGTGAATGCTGGTGGAATCAACCCCCCAACTATCCCAATGGAGGACACCTGCTCTAACCACTCAGCCACAGCTGCCCCACAGGTATGAGCACTCTTTAACTAAAGACTAATTAACAGCTTTGTTCTGATGCCAGTGTTTGTTTTAAAACTGCAAATTGCAGAGTGATTCCATACTTTTCTCCTACTCGATCTAAAAAGTCAATCGTGACTGACTACAACGGTTACGTTTCTTCCCTTTTTATTGTTTCTTAATACCAGAAGATTTAAAAAAATGATAGTTTTGTGGTAGGTTTGTGACTTACCGTATTTTCCGGCCTATAAGTCGCACCGGCTTATAAGTCGCATCAGTCCAAAAATGCCTAATAATTTGGAAAAATCCATAAATAAGTCAATTCACTGTACAAGTCACATCTATTAGGCGTCACCATTGACGCGTCGTGTTTGTTACACGTCACCGCACCCAGAAATGTGGGCCGGTGTTGTGCCAAAAATCGATTGGCTGCCAAATGGCGGGAGCGTGCACGGGAGAACTTTAACAAGAATTTAACAAGATTAAGACTTAAAAACAATTATTTGTTTGCTCAAAATTATAGTAAAGGTGCATCTCAGTTTAAATGTTCCTTAATAAATGCACTTTGTGGTCAAATTTGCTGCATTTCAAAATTATTTGATGCCTCGGTGCTTCGGGAGTGCGCAGAGGGAGGAAATCATGAAGGAGGAACGCTGCACATTTCTTTGAAATTTAACAAGATAAGCACCTAAAACAATTATTTGTTTGTTCGACATTATAGTAAAAGTGTCAGTTGAACTTTTACTTATTAAATGCACTTCAATGGTCAAATTAGCTGCATTTCACCGAGGCGGCGCAGCGAAATGAAGCTGATTTGACTGTTGCTCCAGGCGAGCTGGACAAAGGTGGCAGGCTATGGCAAGCCGATTTTGTCATAGCCACTTTTACCTATTACATGACACAATGGCATGCCATACTACTCGAGTGCCATCTAGCAGCTGAAAATGGTAGTGTTCAATATTTTCAGTCAGACTGAATGAAAACGGTCAGATCTTAGCCAAAGATTGGTTTATAAATATGTGGAAAAAAAATCCATAAATAAGTTACTTCGATCTATAAGTCACAGGGTATGCAAATTAGGCAAAAGGTGCGACTTATAGGCTGTAAAATATGGTTTTTGTGTACAAGTTTAACCAGTTGTTACAACATCCTACAAGAGTGGTGAATCTATACTTTGTGCCAGGGGTTGCATAAGCCTGTATGCAGAGATAATTGGGACTCAAATCTGCCATAAATCAACTGTATTGTTGTGGTTTGGTGCGAGATAACTTTCAATGACTTCTCTTGATGCAATCTGAGCCTCAGAGCAGAGCAGGCTGAGAGATATTTGTTACAGAAACCAGCAACCTGGGTATAAGGGTCCTTGAGATGAAAGTATTTTCTGACAGAATGTCAGAATCAAAGAGTGACGTTTCATTTCTGCCTGCTGAGGCCTGTTGTTACCTAGCAACCAGATTCATCAGACACTGATGGGAGAACCAATCCTGCTTCAGTTGCATCTCTGTTTCCTGCGTATGGGAAGAAAGTCAAATGTTTACAGCCAATTTAAGTTGGTAGCATTTGATTTTTGGGGGATGTATTTGGAACATGCAGAAACACTGATTAGTTCCAGCTCTTCAAATTAAAATGTAGAAAACGTGTTCCCCAAAGGTGGTATCTAAATGGGAGGTGACTATATGGCATTTATGAGGAGTCTCTAGATCTACAATGTCCAATCCTAGTCCTTAAGGGCCACTATACCCTGTATGTTTTAGAGGTTTCTCTGCTCTGACACAACTAATTTGAACTAATAGGTAATTAATAGGCTTCTGCAGAACATAGAGGTAATTTAACTGTTGAATCAGGTGAGTTGGAGCAGAAAAACAGGTACAACATGAAGTATAGTCCTTGAGGATCAAGATTTAACAGCCCTGCTCTAGATGTTCTTGTGGGGTTCTCAACTTACTGTGAAAGTCACAGAGGTGTGCAGTCTTGTTGTTAAAGATAACATGTTAAAAAAAAGTTATGCAACAATATTTTTCTTGAAATGGTCGAAAAGTAGTGGTGGATCCTCTTTAACTTTATATAAAACTAGAGCTACGTTTTGAGACCTACAAGGGAGCTCTCCTTATACAGAAAAAAATCAGAGACAAATCGACTTTCGCGGACTCACTGTTTTGCGGGTTGTCAACGTAAGATTGTACACAACATGACTGATGGAAGGCGACCAACCAGAGCATTGTGCCGAGGGGCGGTCTGGCCATCGGGAGCCGGTGCTGCTATGACAGACAGCCTCAGAAAAAGAAAGGAGGGGGTGGGGTTTGTCTTCCCACACCGCTACAGCTCAGGGAGCTTCAGTGAGACGGATACCTGAGTGAGCGGCATGGATTGTTTATTTAAAATAATCAAGCGTGACCCAAACCAAGCCTTTGGTCCAGGCCCTCGGCGATCACTGAGCGGGCCAGGCCACCGGGAAATGTCCCGGTGCTCCCGATGGCCAGTCCACGCTCAATCCCGGAAGATGATTGGCTCAATAACTGTAGCATCAGTCTGTCTGCTCTCTTTCGCTGTGCTCTTTTAGAGCAGAACAGGATCTGCAACCTGCAACTCTGGAGCCTCATGCAGCTCTTTGGTCCCTCTTTAGTGGCTCTTTCAAGCTTTGACCAAAACTGGCACAAAACTGAAATTTATTGGTTATACAAGTAACAAAAAAGGATTGGTTCAAACAGATTTGATGCCATTTCTTTTGCCAATATGTGAACACTGGAGCAAGTATAAGAAGTAAAACATAATTTAACTTGATGCTTTATTTCTTTATATGAAGAACTGTCTGCATAGTTTATAGATTTTTTTAATTAAAAACAGATGGTTAAAACTGAAAATGTCCCCCCCTTTACAAGAATCTGGTCTTTTTCGTTAATAAATGTTAAAAATCATTAAATATATTTTGCTTTCCAATGTCACCCTTACTGGCCACAAAAGCCCCCTCCAGCAAACCTAAAGTGGGCCACGGACCACCAGTTGATGACCGCAGTTGTAGCAGGTTGTTGCAGCTCTGGACACGTTTAATGTAGTGAACAAAGGTGAAAAATGGCTCTTTTGATTGTAACGGTTGCAGACCTCTGGTTTAGAACATTGTTAAGAACATTGCAAGAGTGTGGGAAGGGTTTATAAAGCCTTAAAATATATATAAATACTAAAATAAATATAACTTCCCTATTTTGCAGATTTTCACCTATGTCTGGAACGTAGCCCCCGCGATAAATGAGGGACTACTGTACTTGTCCTAAAACATTGCCACACAGTTTGGTTGCCTCTTGGTTGTGAACAGTGAGACATTAAACAACAGTTCACGTATTTTCTTATAATTTAGAGTCACTAACTAATCTCCAAACAGTTGCAGCCCGGTAAAATACAACCTTAGGAGATTTTCTAATGGTAAATGTCACTTCATGGGGTTACCTTCAAGTTCTTCCTTCTCAAAGTTGGTGTTGAGCATGGAGCGTGTGCCCCCGCGGTCCACCACCGCCTCCTCATCGGTCCTCTGCAGGAGACACAAACAAACAGGTATTATTCAGCAAATAAAAACAACCGCGCCTCAAAAACCTTTTAAATGTGCAGCACTCACGCTAATAGTGTTCGGATGAGTGCCTAAAGCAGGGGTGGCCAACCCTGGTCCATGAGGGCTACTATCCTGCATGTTTTTTACTCCACAACCACACACACATACACACGTTGCCTCCCTCAACCCCACAATCTGCCAAGACAAGTGATTTGTCCCTCATACACACAGAAAGACTCAGCACTATTAGGCAAACTTCCAAAGGCTGTAACCATGGCAACAAGGGTCGACCAATTGCTATATTGGTAAAATAAAAATAAAAGCTCATTATTTAAAGTCCCCCCCACCCCCAGTTGTGTTGAGTCGAACGGCTCGGAGCCACAGCACACGCTCGATGCGTGGCGTGGCAGAGATGAGGACCGGTGCTAACGGATGTAGCGCGCTCCTTTTTCTGGGTTTCCGTGCTAAAAATAGCCGTGACCTTGAAAACAGAGAACAGCTCTGCCTTTCAGTACTTACTGTGCCATTTAATATACAATAAAAATAATGGCTTGATATTTATGGTGTATTCAAATACTCCGTTAAAACCCCCACCCTCCTCTTTGAGAAATATCAGTGTTTTTTGTGTATTTTCATAAATGTTGATTGGAAATGTCAGCAATCAACTGAATTTAAGCAGTAGTAAAAATTATAGTAGGATAAAAAGTACTACACTGAAACCTGAGGCAAATCATTTGTAATTTTGTAATTAATTAGGCAATGATACAGACAAATTAGTAATTTATGAATAGGCAAAGTCTTAATCAGTTGTTCTTAACAAGTAATCAAAAACCTTGCTAATCAGAGAGGGGCATGCCAACGTCTCCAGGCCATAAATGCCAAAATAAATTGGAAAAAAGTTGTCATGGTGACGCCTCCTACAGCCCTTTGCTCCGTCAATACCATTCCTCCTCCGACTCTCTCCGGTTTTCATGCATGCGAGGTTTTTGTTCTCTTGACATGCGCAGGGAAGTTGCTGTCAAGTCACCTCACTATCAAAATATTCACAGCTCCAACATCATTTGTGCATAGTTTCTTTCATCTCAGTCTCAGTCGTTCTAACAAAAACACTGAAGTTCTGCAGAGAACGTCTGCATTCACTTAAAAGTTTCCCCGTGACAGGATTAGAATAAAAATACTGAAGAAAAATGGAAAAATTGGTCCATTGCTTGGGGACAAAGAAATAATGGGCACGGGTGAAGCGTTAAATAAATAGTCCAGTTAACTTTAAAGTGATTTTCTGCCTAAAAAATATCTAAATTTGAACAAAGTTAAGTCAGGTCCTGTGGACAGTTTCTTTTTTTGTTGAAACGTTCATCCAAAGGACTTCATCAGTCCGAGGAGCCACAGCAAACTCAGTTCCATAAGTGGCTTACTCATAGTGGGACAACCAGTTTTATGGTGATATGGTGGTTTTTGGAGTTCGCCCTCTCCCCCGTCGACTCCACTGAGGCAGCCATAGCCAAAGTGGTTCAAAACATCAAAGTTCATGTTCAAAAATCCAGGTTAAAAAATAAACTATCATAAAAATCCACCATAAAAAACCATCTTATCACCATAAAACTGGTTGGTCCACTATGTGAGTAAGCCACTTATGGGAGTGAGTTTGTTGTGGCTCCTCGGATTGATGAAGTTCTATGGATGAAGGACGAAACGTTTAAACAAACAAACAAAAAAAAAGAAACGGTCCAGAGGATTTGACTTAACGTTGCTGGATTTTTTCATGGATTAACGAGTATGAACTTTGATGTATCAATAGTTGGTACGTTAGCTTAGTCATAGAGCACATAGTATGGAGATAGCTGAAAGTCTTTGTCCAGGCTAATAGCTAGCCAAACAAGTGTTTGTGTTTTATTTCTATAGCCTTAGAAAACAATGTTTTAAAAAAAATGGCAATCTAATGTAAAAGAACGCTACATTAGCTAGCATTAAACCCTTTAAATTTGCATATGACACCATTTGCTTAGTTTCCCGCCATTTTCTCAGTCAAACAACGTCCATGTTACTGAGCACACATGGACTGTGGTGCGTATACGCCGATGGGGTTGAAACTACTGAATGTGAGCTGAGAAAACTTTTGGATTTACTACATGTTAATCAAGCAGACTGCTACGTTCAGAAGCCTTGGCGTTGTTGGCATATAACAATCTATCTAGTCTCTACTAACATTCACGGATGTTGTTTGATTGAGAAAATGAACAAATTAAACAAGCAACGTCATCTAAAAATACAGGTTTAATATGCTAAACCTACTTAGTTTTTTGTATGTTTGAGAAATAATTGTTTTAAAAGCCTGAAAAGTATATATTTTTAAATGCAGTCATTTGGCTAGCCGTTAGCCTAGCCCTGACTAAGACTTTTGCCTCATTCTCCATACTTCGTGCTCTAAGAGTGGTGTCACAGCTGATAAGATGCTAACTATTGATTACCTTAGGTTGAGAAATGACAAAGGTTGCAGTCATTTTGTCAATCTTTGAAAGTAAAACAAGTGTTACACGTGATGTGAACGACTGCCAGGCGCTACCACACCAAAGTTTTGCTCAACATGTGTAAATTTTGCTGAAGTACTGTATATCTATTTTTGTGAAGGCTAAAGTTGATTCGCTGTGGCAGCCATCTTGAACTGGGTTGACTCCAAAAGTTAATCAGTTGTACGCGTGCATTCAATTATTAAGAGTTTAACTGACACCTGTCCATTGATGTATAAGACATTTTGCTCATAAACAGAGTTGACTTCAAATGTCAATGCTAAGGTTTTAAGCAAATATCTTGTGCAACATGTAGTGCTCAAAGTTCGTGTTGGTGGCCATGCTCACATCAAATTGTAGCTCGGTGTTTGTGGAGTTACAGCCATTTTGAATCTTCTGAGGTCACATGGCTCTGGCTGCCATCGTGAACTAGGTTGATTTGAAACGTTTATCAATTGTTTATGTACATACATTGATTACTTTCCTGTAAGTGGGCCATGAGATATTTTGTTAACCAATAAAAAGGTTGATTCCAATAGTTATTAGCATAGTTAGATCTCACAATTGGTTAGTTATTCCCAGAGAACAGGTTGGGGATGAGTCACAGCTACTATTACGTCAAATTCTAGCTCAATATCTGTAAAACTGAGCAATTTATAGCCATTTTAGTGTTTGCTAAGGATGATTAGCTCCTTGTCTATATTCCTCGACAGTCAGCAGAGTTAATGAACTTTCATTCTCTTAGCTAAGATAAATTAACTCTAAAAGATAAAAGCATTTACAAATGGTTGCAATTTTCTACTTCTCAAAACAGAGACCACAATAGAAGTAAAAAAAGAAGTTACATGGAAATGCTTTATTGCGGTAAGCTAAAATGCTAATGGCAAAAAAAAAAGAAAAACGCTGCATGACATCCTTCTCTTACACAATAAGGCACACACATGGACATGCATGTGAGAAACAAGCCGGAGCATCAAAAGGGAGAGTGGACAGATGCAGAGTGCTGACTTAGGAGGCTTACTGTACACAGAATCATTAACGGAGCTATTGCAAACAGCTAACAGGGTACGGACACATACAGGCACAGCTAAGGCTTCATCATCATCAAGTCCCTCTGGACAGACTTTCCTGGAGCTCCCTCAGCAATGTTCATGGTAATGTGATGGAAAAATCTTCTAGTTCTCTCAGATACAGCCCTCTGCATTCTTAAAACCACTACAGTTGATAAAAAATACAGATAATGTTGCCACTTCAAGATGGTTTACAGAGGTTTATAGAAATGAAATGTAGAGGAGCAGGTGAAAAGGGCGGTCAGCTGAAGCAGGGTCCAGTTTCTCAAGTGTATTTTGCATAGACAAATAAAATGAACATAAACCAGTAAACCAGTAATAATAAGATGTGCAATCACTGGGAAATCTTAAATTTCCAAGGCCTGCTTACTCAGAGCTACCAGTTGACAGTATTCAGATGGAGGTTGACCAAATGGACTCAATTTATGAGCTCCAACTGGTGGAGAGAAGATGGCCTCAAATCAGCTAGACCAACTTTGGAAACAGTGGCAGAGCATGGTGAGTGTTTTGTGACTATTTCAGCTCATTGCTGTGCTGTGTTTGCCTTGGATACAAATTAAGTAGCATAAGTTTGGGGCCGCTTTGCTGTGATGGGCCGACCCACATCATGGCAACACACAAATTATACCGAAAACCACAGAGACCATATAGACACAAGTAGAGTCAAAGAGAGCCATGGTGAGTTTGGACCATGAAAATACAACTACAGAAGTCCTTTGATACTTTGCGGTTCGACTTTCGCAAACTCATTCTTTCGCAGGTTTTCAACGCAAGATTCTACACGACATGGAAGGCAACCAACCAGAGCATTGTGTTGAAAAGCAGACTGACTATCGGGAGCATCAGGACATTTTCTGGTGGCCTGGCCCGCTCAGTGATCTCTGAGGGGGACTAAAGGCTCGGTTCAGGTCATACTTGAATATTTTAAATAAACATTCTGTGCCGCTCGTGTGGCTCACTCAGCTATAAGACAGACCCCCTCGCCCCCTTCTTTCTTTTTCAGAGGCTGTTTGTTGTGTGTCTCTGCTCTACTGTGACAGACAGCCTCAGAAAAAGAAAGGAGGAGGCGGGGGGGGGGGTCTGTCTTATACCTGAATGAGCTGCACAAGTGGCATAGATCCATCCATCCATCCATTATCTTTTACCCGCTTCTTACATTTTGGATCACGGGGGTCGCCAGTGCCCATGTCCAGCAATCACTGTGCGAGGGGCGGGGTACACCCTGGACGGGTCGCAAGTCCATCACAGGGACACATAGAGACAAACGAGACAAACAACCATTAACTCTCTCACTCACACCTAGAGAAAATTTAGAGTTACCAATCAGCCTAACATGCATGTTTTTGGTCTGTGGGAGGAAACCGGAGTACCCAGAGAAAACCCACGCATGCACGGAGAGAACATG